CTAGACCATAAGAAGAACAAAGCCAATCCCCTCTCTAAGCCCAAAAACCACTTATCTAGGTTCAGAATGGACAGTTGGCTTGGTGTTGCTCACTGATACTGACTGAGGGGTAGTAGATGGTCTGGTGCTTTCCTGGACAACACATCAAATGCTGAGGCTCAGCATTAGCCTCACAAACCACCCAGACACTGATCTCAGTCAGATATGTTTGGTATATTAAACACATATGCAAGACAGATTAATCAGTGGCACAGCCAGGGGTAGGGAACCAAACTACAACCCTTAGCAGTTAGTTCTCAGAGCCAGTTTTTACATGGGAAAAATCACATCAGGTACATTTGCAACATTTAATCTATCTAAACAAAGTAGTGCTATCTGACATTTAAGCTGATTGGCTGGGTCTAGACGCAGGCAGGTTAAGCAGTTTCCAGAGTCCACCAGACTCTGACAAAGCACAACATTATGACTATGGTCAGGGCAAGAAACATTAGCACAGGTTAAGGTCATTAGCTATAAGATTAAGGTTAAGGAAACATGTCAGAACTATTGTCACATATTAACATTTAACACAATATGTGTTCACAGAACATTTATCCCGAACACAAAAGTATATAACCTCTTCTCTGTAATTCATAGTTATTTCTCTAAACTTGATCACATACTCTTGACTCAAGGCAAGAACCAATAGACACAAGAACATTAAAATAACCCCATGCAACACTGGATCACCATAGATTAAAGCTAGACACAAACAACAACAGAATCAACAGAGAGCTTAAAAACTCATGAAAACACAACATCTCGTTACTGAATGAAAAAAAAAACATGTCAAGACAGGAAGAAAGAAGTCATAGATTTATTGGAATTCAAGAAAAAAGAATAAATAGCATTGCCAAATTTGTGAGACACAAATAAAACATTGTTAAATGGAAAGTTAATAGTAATGAGGGACTACATAAACAAAATGGGGAGAACTATCACGTGTATTCTAACAACAAATCTGAAATCGGTAGGCTTAGATTTCTTAAAGCCTACGTCAACAATTCAATCTGCCTTCTAGCACATCAAAGAAGTAGGTGAAAAGAACAGTTAATAGGAAACCAGTTATGGACCTCATTAGAAATAATTTTGGCAGGCAATTCCAATCTTGGTTGTCTGCAGTCCAATTTACTTGACAAACACCAAACACAAATAAATAGCAGCAGCTTGATCCAGAAGAAACTGTGAGGCTCAGACAATCGGCATGAGTCCACATAAGCAGCATGAAGCAGCCAAAGATCCACCAGAAGTTCTTTGGTGCATTTCTCTCTACAAAGTAACAAGTGAAAATCAGCCAAGAAAGCAAGGTGAACCAATGTAAGAGCACTATCAGTGAAGACCAGTGTTATCAAAGCCCAGTGATAACCAACAATGAATTTCAATGTGAACCAAGCCAAGAGCTTCATCCTGTGTCTCTTGGGCTATACCCTCAGTCTTTCCAAACATCATGCTCCTCTCAGACATCCGCTGAAGGAAAAAAAAATATTCCATTTCACCAGGCAACTTCTAGAAACGCACAATGTTTCTGTTCTTATCAAAACATTCTTTCATGTATCTGTTTCAGCAAAACATTCTCCCATAAGACAATTTCCAGAAACACATCAGAAGAAACAACTGAGTTTTCAATGAAACCAGAAATTCCCACTTCAGAAAGCTCTAGAACAAAGAGAAATAATAATACTAAAATGGTATATTCTGTAATAAATAATCATGTTTAGGGCTGAAGTCAATGATAGATAGCCAATAAGAACAAAACAAGTATAAATGAAGCAAATAGTTGGTTTTCTGAGGAAATCAGTAAGAGAGAAAAACCCTTATGCAAACTAACTAAAAAGCAGGGAGAAAATATCCTAATTCACAAAATGAGAAACAAAAATGAGGACACAAAAGGACAACAGGGAAATTCAGAGTATTATAAGGATATCCTTTAAAAACTTTTACTTCACCAAATTGGAAAATGTTAGAGAAATGGATAATTTTCAGGACAGATTCCACTTGAGTATGTCAAATCAAGAGCAGATAAACAAAGGAAATAAACCTATAACTCCTGGTGTAATAGACTCAGTCATTAAAATCTACTAACCAAAATGAAAGCCCAGGGACAGATGCTTTTAGCAAAGAGTTCTACCAGATCTTTAAGGAAGCGTTAATGCCAATACTCAATTTATTGCAGAAGCAAAATGAACATTGCCCAATTCAATATATGAGGTCAGTGTTATCTGGATACCCAAACACAAGAATACTCGATAAAGAGAGGAAATTACATAGTAACTTTTCTTAGGGAAACAGATGCTAAAATATATAAGAAAATACATATAAAATGAATAAATACCCACATAAAACAATATCCACTACCATTGAGAATACTTCATTTTAGAGATGCAGAGATGATTCAATATATGAAAATCAGGAAATGTAATTCACAATATTAACAAATTTCAAGAAATATTAACTAACCACAGGAACATTTCATAAGATGCAGAAAAGGCCTTTGACAAAATTCAACACCTTTCATGACAAAAAAAGAAATCTCTCCTAGAGAAACTAGGGATATGAGGGATATAACTCAACATAACAAAGGTAAGTTACAGCAAGTCTGTTGCTGATATTCCAGTAAATGGAGAGAAATACAACATGCCTTCAATAACATCTGGAAGAATACAATTTTCATGCTCCCTTCATATCTATTCAAAATAGAAATTGAAATTTAGGTTGAACAAAAAGACAACTGAAGGACATCAAGAGGATACAACCAGGAAAGAAAGGAGTCAAACTATTTTGTGCAGACCATTTGATATTATCTCTAAAGGAGACTAACATTTCCACCAATGATAAGTGGACAGAGACAGAAATGGGGAAACAACTATCACTGTAACATTGTATACTGGGAAATAACTCAGAGTAACACCAGTCCAGCAAGTGAAAGACTTGTTTGATAAAAGCTTCAAGTGTGTGAAGAAGATACCATGGGATAGAAAAATCTCCATAACCATGGAACAAAAATATCAGCACAGGAATTTGGTTCATCCTAGATTTATGGCGATCTTTAGCAAAATTTGTTACAGAGCTTGAAATGAGAATTCTCATCTTCATATGATCACACACAATAAACACACACACACACACATACACACACACACACACACACACACACTAAACTTAAAAATGTGTGACATTCAGGAAGTCTTACAGTATCCTATTTTAATTGGTACTATAGAGCTACAGTAATGAAACATGAATGATATTGGCATAAAATAAATACATTGATCAACAGAATTGTATTAAGATCCAGACACAAATTTTCACACATATAGGGTATCTGACTTTGATAAAGAAGCCAGAAACATACACACTGGGGGAAAACATATTCAACAAATTATGATGGCGAAACTGGATGTATGAATGTATAAGAATGCAAATATAGCAAAAATGGGAGACACAACACAGGAAAAAATGAAGAAACACAAAAGAGTTATTTATGTGTCAAAATAAGGCCAGGTTAATTCTTGTGTGTGAAGATACACTGAGATGATGAAAAAGTTGGTTATTTATTCACAAATAAAACAAAATACCTACATTCCTCTTTTTAAAAAAAATGTAACCCAGCTCTGTGTACAAACACCTTCTTTTGTTCCCCACCTGTTCCACTGTCTCTGCTTTAGCCAGATCTCAGATCAAAGCACGGCAGAGAATGCTAGAAGCCCAAGATTCTACAGAGTCTGTTGCAAAGTGGAAGAAGTTACTGTAATTGCTACTCTCCTCTCTATTGAGGACAAAGGGAGAAGAAACATAGACTAGGTAACTAACAGCCATGATTCTACAAACAGTTAACCATGGACAAAATGAATGTTCCTGAGTCTGAGAGGCCAGAGGGAGATACACACAGTGAATTCCAAAACAACATGTCTTACAGAGAAAAACCTACCTCTGGAAAATGAAGGAAGTGGTGAGAAAATATGCAGAGGAAGCAGAGTGTGGGCAGGGCAACAGCAGCAAATGCTGAAAGAGGGAACACATATGCAGCCAGCCTCAACCTCAGTCATTCTGTTGTTTGCTGATAAGTGCAGAACCCACTTTACATGCATCTGTCAGATAAAATCAAGACCACTGTTTCTGGAAGTTTACTGTGCTACCATCCTTTTGTGTAAGGATGCAGGATCAAGCTGGTCCAAGGAACAAAGCCTACTAATCAGGAATTCAAAGGAGAGAACAGGGATCTGAGTCTAATCAGGGCCAGAACAATGAAATAAAGAAAAAAAGGAAACCTGGACAAGAAACCCAAAAAGAACAGTCTTGGGTTTCCCAGTCTCCTACAAAGCATTCATCCATGCCCTTCAACACAGTCACAAAGGAGTCCTTTGATCTCTTCCTTTGTTCATAGACAGATGCAGACAACTCACAACTCAAAAGGGTTTCTCAACTTAGTTGCCTCAACCTAGGTGACTCTCTTCTTCTTGCCCAAGGCTATTGTCCCTGTGTACAGTGTGTGCTGATGGGATACATTCTGTTGGAATGTGACACATCATATTCACATTATTAATAACAGTTCATGAATCTGATAAGAAACACTGTCATGATCTCCTAAGCTAAAAGAAAGGCAAAAGCAACAACCATCTGAAATTACATCCTTTCACCAGCACACACTTCAGCCTTCAGGGCTGCTGTTTCTCTCACTCCTGTCTTGCGGCTCAGAATCTGTCCTTCCTATTGGCTACTGACTGACTTATGACATCATTCTCCCTCCTAGCCTACCAGCACCTGGTAGAATCCTGGGGTTTCCATGGTGCTGCCTGTAAACAAATTTGGATCACTACTGGTATCCTGTGACCAGTGACCAGTGGGCTCTGTCTGATACTGGACACACTCGCTAGTTTGGTCAGCATATTGGACAAAGACTAACATTTATCTGGCTCAATTGTATGGTGGAGTACTGTTACTCCTCCTACTAAGCCCTCCTGATCATGTCCGGTAAGGAAAGAAACTTTCAAACATTTTTATCACATCTTTCCTTATTTTTTAGTATATGTTTAAATCTTTCAAATACTAGGGACTACACAGCTATAGATATCTCATATTGAAAGTCATGTTTAGCTTTTGTTCTTACTAAGAATATGACTTTGGACACACAATTTACTCTCAACTGATTCTTTATCCACCTCAGGGAGATTACAGTGCTACTATGGTCTAGGCTCTGTGCTGTTGAATCTGACAAGTGAATGTAAAGAGCCAAAGAGGGGACAGGACTCTGGAAGGTAGTTCTTATAGGGAAAGAATTATTGAGGCTGTTACATGAAAGACCGACCCACAAGAACTGGGGGAAAAAAACATTCCAACTATAAAGTTGAAAGGCTAGAAAACAGAGAAATCAAAGGAGCCAAACCTGCAGACGTGATAATGTTGCACAGAACCACCCATTTTAAATCAAAGGGCTCAGGGTATTGTCATTTCCCAAGCTTTGTTTAGGTAACCATATTAGGATTCGTTTGGGTGCAAGTTCACTGTCATATACAGAGGATATTATGCCACTCTTGTCCCTGACTCTTGAAATCTATCACATCTTGTACAGAGTTCTCTGATTCTTGTATGTACTGGCTGTATTCGAAATTATCAGTTGGGACTGGGAACTCCATAGTCAGTTGTTCTCTGTACAACAATAACTGACACAGGTGGGAAACGCTCACAAGGATTCCCCTCTTAAAGAGTTACAGACAATTAACAGGAACAGAGGAAGAGTAAATCTTATTCAGGGATCAGCCTTCCAATAGGTGAGCAAATCCCAGTAGGTCAGCCCTAAACCAATGTATACATCATGAAATGTTATTAGTGGGTTGTATACATAAAGTCATAAACACATAGGTGTTTAAGGGTTATCTTTATATAAGATCATCATTTATAGAAGGAGTGGCAGGGACAAAGGAGTAGTTAGCAAGAAAAATGAAGTCAATATAATACTAATATACAAAATCCCTGATATGTAATTTTTAAAAACAAAAACAGCCACAGAGTATAGACTAGCTTGGTGGTCCTGGGACTCACCTATAAGGCAGCACTTAAGATCCAGAGGCAGGTTGGTTTCTGTGATCTCAAGCCCAGCCTATTCTATGTAAAGAGGTCATTTTACATAGATATATGAAGGACAGAGAAAAGGCAGAAACTTGAGAACCTAAGGCTCTCCTACCTCTAAACACTTCTACTCAAGGACACAGTTTATTTAGAAGCAGTGTCAAAGCAGGTATAAGAGCAAGACAAAGCAGGGCAAAGAAGGAATGTGTCTAGGTTGGAGCCAAGGCTGTAACAGTTCAACCAGGATTTCCAGGCCCACTGAGGATGGTGAGGCAGCTCATCCAATGAGAGTCATTACTATTTGTGGTAAGAATCAATCTGAGCATTTGCAATAGTGATGTTGGAGGAAATTCAGTCTTAGCTGATCCAATCCAGTACAAACTGCAGATAGAACTGCTCCCCACAGGAACCTAGAAAGTATCAACCTCAGCATTTTCCCACTGTCTTCTTCCTCCCTACAGAAAATTTCCAAAGTTCACCTTTCATTGGGGAAGAAAGAGCTCTGAAGCCTTCTCTGCCTGTGCTGAGCAATTCCACACACTCAGGAAGGGAGTGCAACATCTCCAGAGTCTCCACCCCAGATGTGAGTTCAACATGGCTTCTGCCTTCAGCATCCAGCAGTTCTCTCCAGCAACTCATGGGTAATGCCTACCTTAACCCACATGCTGGCACAACCATGCTGTCAGTGATGACTGAGCAAGGCCAGATCTCCACCTCAGCACCTTCCTATCCAGGTGTTCTCAAGTGGGATTTCACAGGAAGCATGGATGGGAGGAAAGATGCACTCCAGGGATTCAATGTGAAGATCATTGACCAGGACACTACACTCTCCACTCTGGCTGTGACAAACCAGTGTGATAAAATTTTAGATCCCAATGCCATGGTTCCTTTCTATCCAACACTGTCTGCCAGCTTTGTCCAGGCCACACCACCGCAGATGCCAAATCAGAGATACTGCCTGGCACCTTCCTACCAGGAGAGTAGCCAGGTCTATTACTATGAGCACAACAGCCTGGGCCCTCTGATAGCTGAAGAATTTAGGCAGTGTTTGCCAGCCCATTGCTCTGTGTCTTACCCTGGGAGTCAGACCTGTGCGCTTCAATCAGAGATGGTGATGGTGCTAAAGGAGATTCAGCCAAGGAATGTCCAGATACCACTGTTTACCTCTCCCTTTGCCTATTCCACATCTGCTCAATCCATGCCAGACAACAGTCTTCCTGGTGAGTACAGATCTAGGAGGGAAAGAGTGGGATCAGCACTCCAAGTAGACTGACCTCTACCTTTTATAGTGGACATTGCACATAAGGGGAGAAGGAGTATCATGACAGGTCTTGATTTCCACTTACACCATCAGACTCTATCCAAAGAGAGAATGCAAGGCCACAGTGAGTGACATCCATCCTGTATTAAGTGATATCCATGGAGCACACCACAGTCACACATGTAGCTAACTACCCAAGATTACCACTCCCATCCCCCAATATACTCCTTCCTGACCTATTGATCTTGTGTTTCCTGACCTATTGATCTTGTGTCTTGAACACACTGAGGAATTTTTTTTTTTTTTTTTTTGGTTTTGGTAACATGGGTTTTTCCATGAGTTACATCCTTCAGAGTAATGTAGCTCAGAATCTGTCCTGGAGGAAAAATTCCTCCCAGATTCTCAGCACTTGTCCTGGAATTTTCTTACACTTAAACTTGTAAAGAGAGTACGGTATAGTCAACGTACCATTTCTAAGTTGTCGAAAGCTGCTCCTTTTTTTTTCATTTGCTGTGATACTTCAGAGGTAACTAACTCATGTTCAAGAATATAAAATCATGTAGCCGTGTTCTGTACTACTGAGTCACACTCAAGCCCAACAATTTCAAACTCTCATACCATTTTCCATTCCACTTATAAGATTGTGAAACATGGGGCAGGAGGAAATTTTGGTTGTTTAAATGCTTGCATTTTAGGAGTGCCTAAGTGGGTTTGAACACATAAACCCACATAAAAAACCAAGCTTCTACCATTGTCTGTGTGGTAACATTTTGAAAGAAATTGTCAGGTTCAGGTGTTTGGAAATTATGGACCAGACAACTTGCCTAATAGCAAAGTTCCATGAAAATGAAAGGCACTCTTAATAAAGACAAAAAGGAAGGAAACTGAGGAGCACACGTCCAGGGAATTCAGGAAATGCCCCACTAAGGGTTTTCCTCTACAAACCACAAACACAGGAAGGAAAAAAATATCTGAGAAAACATGACATGCAATGGTCTGCAGAAACAGAGGAGTCACCATGTGTCTGCCATAGAGGTACCATCCAAGCTCCTCAACAAGAGCTTCTAGGAATGCCCTCCCACTGCTGCTAGGGCCCAATGCTGTAGTCCTATGAAATATGGGTGGAGGTGGGGAGCATTTCTTTACCACTGGCACTCATTTGTCCCTTCACTCTTTTCCAGTAGTTCAAAGGGAGACATCCCTGGGATTGCCACCTTCAGGTCAGACATACTGTCAGCTGCAGAGTCCTGAACTCTTCAAAACCTCTGGCCAGGCTTCCCAGAAAAGACCACCAGCTGTCAATGGGGACAGGGCATTAACAGCCACTATCCACAGTCCTTCAGAATTTCTAGCCTTGCCTCCAGCTCCAAACCAGGAAGAAACTAAGAACAAAACCATGAAAGAGATCAAAGATGAATTTTTAAAGAGTCTGGATGCCTATGAAGGCACAAAAGAAAACCAAGACACACCAATCGTGACTTTAGTACACCCTGACTTTCAGCAGCATCTGCACTGCACTGATACTGAGAGCCTAAGGCAGAAGTCTGCTTCTGACGATATGCATGTGGGGGACATCAGCATGTGTCCAAAAGAGCTTGGGGGCATCCAGAATGAGATAGGTTCCAGCTTTGACTTTAAAGACATCACTACACTTGAGGCAGACATTCAACTTCCCCAACTCCTCAACACCCTCACAGATATAGACCAGTATCAGTCCTGTGAAAACTGGAACATCATCAATGAGGCCCCTGGCCAGGTGAGGAAGAATAAACATAAGTCATCTGAGCTGCTTGAGGAAGCTCCTCAGGCCAAAATCCAGCACCAAGACCTGGTGTTGGGAGAGGGGAATGTGTATGTGCCTGGGTCCAGTGACAGTATTGAAAACACGGCAAAGAACCAGAAGGGTAAAGCTCCCAAGGTTACCCCCAGCAAGAACAGAAGAGTTAGAAAACAGGGGCAGGAAAGACCAAGTCGACCAGAGAAAATCTCTAAGAAAACAGAGGAGCTTAAGCAGTCAAGGAACAGAGTCAAAGGAGAAGAGAAGCCCACCATCTCCAAGACAAAGAGGAAGAGGAATCCACCTGAGTTCAGTCAAAACAGCTTCAAGAAGCCTCGAACCAACCTTGGTATGCGCATGCTGGAGTCTGTGCAGGTCTTTCACCCACTGGGAAAGAGGAATGAAAAGAAAACTGGCATTTCCTCCTTTGCGGGTCTGCGGACCCTCACCAGCAACAAAGATCCAGGCCTAGCCTCTGTTACTACAGCAATGGTAAACATGCCATGTGAGGACAAGGGTCCTCCAAAAAGTCCTGGGAAGATTCAGACAGTAAACAGCACTGCCAACAAATACTGTCTATCTCCATCCAAGTATGAGCTGCCCCCAGCTGGGAAGGTCAGGTTAGTACCTCTGCCTTTTCTAACCCAGGAGAAGCCTCAAGCCAGAGCTGTTTCTAAAAAGGCTCTTTCCCTGGCTTTACCAAGACCCACTGCAGCTTACCCTCTGCAGCCTCACTGCCAGTCAGCTCAACTTACCACACTCAGGCCAACCAAACCAGCTCCTGTCAGCACATCTTTGATGGCCTCTGCCAAGCCAGCTCCTCCAGTTTCCTTCAGAGCCACACAACCTAATGTAACCAACACCATCCAGTCTAGTACTGCACCCCAGTTGACCACCTCGAGGCCTGCACCCTACAGAGCATCATCTCACACTTCATTCCAGAGAGAGCATGTTTCTGCTGCCAGGAACAAGGTGCCATCACCTCCCAAACCTCAATCTCAATACCTACTGCAAGACTTCAGCCGCCAACCAATTCCATGGAAGAAAGTAGACATTCTGGGACCAGTTGTCTCACAGCCCATCACAAAAGAGCAGAGGCCAGAGAGGGAGGCCATGAAGAGGCAGGCTCAACAGGAGCGAGAGAATGCTGTCAGGAACACCTCTCATGGGAAACTGCAGATTTTCCTTCAGAGGGAGAAGGACATGGAAATTTCTCAGTATTATGGCTATGCAATGTAAGAGCTGGCCATTTCCCTGTAACTAAGTTCTTTTCAACATTGATAGAAGAGATATATTCAGTGACACAGAGGTAGAAAAGAACAGAGAAACAAATGTAAATATGTATATACGTAGATATATGTGCAGGAATATAGAAGACAAGTAGATATAGATGGATAGAAAAAAACATACCCACATGAATTTGAATAGTCAGTAAAATTGCCTATAGTATGTTAAGTTAGTTATTTCTCTTAATTGTGAAGATTTAGGTTTTACTATATTCTATATGAAATTAATGAATGAATTAGCCAGTGACAGGGCTATTGAAAACATGGCAAAGAACCAGAAGGGCAAAGCTCCCAAAGTGGCCTCCAGCAAGCAAGAACAGAAGAGTTAAAAAACAGGGGCAGGAAAGACCAAGTCGACCAGAGAAAAACTCTAAGAAGGAACAGAGTCAAAGGAGAAGAGAAGCCCACCATCCCCAAGACCAAGAGGAAGAGAAATCCATCTGAGGTCAGTCAAAACAGCTTCACGAAGCATCGAACCAATTTTGGCATATATGTGCTGGAGTCTGTGCAGGTCTTTCACCCACTGGGAAATAAGAATAAACGGAAAACTGGCATTTCCTCCTTTGGGAGTCTGCAAACCTTCACCAGCAACAAAGATCCAGGCCCCACCTCTGTTACTACAGCAGTGCTAAAGATGCCATGTGAGGGCCAGGGTATTCCCAAAAGTCCAGGGAATATTCATAGAGTAGAGAGCATTGCTGACAAAGATTGTCTATCTTGATCTTGTCATCTTAGAGGCTCTACCAGTAGCGGACTGAGACAGATCCAGATACTTATAGGAAACCACTGGACTGAGGCCTGGGACCCCTGTAGAAGAGTTCGGGGAAATGTTGAAGGATCAGAAGAGGCTTCCAAACACATAAGAAGACCAACAGTGTCAACTAACCTGGACCCCTGAGAGTTCACAGGGACTAAGTCACCCACCAAAGAGCATACATGGGCTGGTCCAAGGCCCCTGGAACATATGTTTCAGAAGACTGACTGCCCTATTGGCCCCAGTAGCAGCAACTGCACCTAAGCTTGTAGAGAATGATGCTCCAGAGAAGGATGATGTCCCACTTTTGCAAGGATGATGGTATGAGGGTTCCACCTCAGAGGTAAAGTGGAGGGGGAATGGGGGTGAAGTATTCTGAGGATGAGGGGGCAATATTTGGGATGTAAATAAATTAATTAATTAAAGAGGAATTTTTCTAGCAGCTATCCAAAAAGGCTGTCTATAGAAGTCTGTTGGAATATCTTCTGGCCTATAGATTTTGCTTTGAAAATCCAAGAATTACTTTTCGAATTTTTTTTTTAAAGAAATTCTGACTTGGTTGGAAGATCCAAGAAATTGTTATAGCAATGTTTCTGACTTTGGTCAAAAAAATTGCTGAGCTCTCCACATAGCTTTTAGAATTTTTACTAGCAGAGAGAACTGTCATTTCCAGAAAGATTTTAGAATAGCAAAAGGTGCCTAGAGAATAGCAGAATACCCCCCCCACACACACACACAGAGAGAGAGAGACAGAGAGAGAGAAAGAGGGAGCAGGAGTGAGTGTAGTAGGAGGAGGAGGAGGAGAGGAGGGAAACAGAGAGGGAGAGGGAGAGGAGAAAATGGCTGAGAGACAGAAGGAAGGCCACTTAACACAAAGAGACCCTGCTGGGCACCAGCCAGAAATACTACATGGTCAATAAATGCAATGCAATGTGGAGGTCCATGCACCTCCACATTACTGGACCTAGGAGGCTGAGGCAGGAGGAAGCTGGATTGCCAGGTCAGCCTCAGCTTCACAGGGGAGACTGGAGGACATCCCAGAGTACATCAGACACTTACTCAAATGGAAAAGGCCAGAAGGATGTGATCTTAGCAGTGCACAGAGATAAGCAGCATGCTTGTCCACTATTGTGTGTGTGTATGTGTGTGGGGTACAGCCATGAGTGTGAGTGGAGACAGGGACAATCTCACGTTCCCTCAGTCTACCATGTGATTCCTGCAGATGGAACTGAGGAACTCAAGCTTCACAGAAGGTGTCTTTGCCAGGTGAGACATCCCATTCATGGTCTTTTAAAAGTTGTTTTGATGAGACAGTATCTCTCTATGTAGCTCCAAAGTTCCTGAAAATTGCTATGTAGCTCAGGCTTGCCTCAAACTCAGAAATCTCATACCTCTGCCTCCAGAGCACTGGCCTTAAAAGTATGCATCACAGTACCTAGGCCTTATCTTTCTGCAACTTACTGAATTTTCTACAAAAAGCACTATTCTATATAACCATCACTCTGCTCCAATTCCAGAACATTCCATGATCCTCAAGGCAGCAGTTGCTCCTGCTCCCTTTCCTTTTTTTTTTTTTTTTTTTTGCTTTCTGGCTATGTAGAGTTTTTGATTCTCTATACTTTCACATGTGGGGCGACACAGTTTGTGGGCCTGGGGACTCCCCATTTCTTTATCTTGTGACCTAGATGGAGGATGTTCTTAGAAACAGTTTTCCTAAATGTTCCAGGCTAATCCAGACCTCAAAATTTCTGTCTCAGCCTCCATATATGGTCACTACACTGCACTCAGGAAAAACTGTTCTGCTCTGCTTTTTGCTGCAGGGCCTTGGTATATGGGATCATAGAAAACAGACCCCTGTTGATTTAGGCTGTCAGGCCTGGGGACTTCACCAAAGTCCACATGGCACTGGAGAAGTCCCTGATGTCCCTGGTGGAGATCTTGAGTCTCCCTGGTGTAACTTCCCAGAGTTCTATGCCAGTCTGGGCTATGGTGAGAAACAAACAACACAAAAACCAATATTAAGTTTCTGAGCATGTGTGGAACACAGATGATGTGAGTACTCGAGGAGGGGGCTGAGTCAGAAGGACTACTGGAGTTCAGGAGCTCTAGACTAGTCTGGGTTTCTTGTAGGATCCACAGGGAGGCTAGGGAAATTGCTTAGTTGACAAAATGCTTGCTGAGTGAGTGTGACGACCTGTGTCCCAATCCCCAGCACCTATGGGAAAGCCACGGCAAGAACTCAGCTCTGTACTCTGCCATCAGAGGGCAGAGGCAGGCTCCAGGACAGGCAGTCAGGCCAAAATAAGCAAGCTCTGGGGTTAAAGGCAATGTCTCAAAACTGTAAAGGGAGGTCTAGGGAAGTGGCATTAGGGGTAAGAACACTGGCTTTACAAGAATGAGGACTTGAGTTCGAATCATAGGACACACATAAAAATCTAGGTGTTCAGGTGTAAACCCAGTGCTAAGAATGAGAGACACAGGAAGAGGGCTTGGGCTTGGTAACCATTAACTGTAGCATCCCAAGCTGCTGCTACAGTCTGAGGGTCAAGATATCCCCTCTTCTTTCCCCTTCTCCTAAATCTACTCATCTTCCATTTCCCTTCAACAACAACACCACCAACAAAAAAACAACAAGAGGACGTAGAAGGGGAAAGATAATTGAGCAGATATAGTACTCATATATCAAATCCCTGATTCATTATGTTTTTAAGGCTCAGAGTAAAATTAAGCCTGGTGGTATTCGCAGACATCTATGATACCACCATTCTAGAGACAGAGGCAGGCCAAGG